GCACACTCATGTTCCCACCTAGACTCTGCAGTTAACATTCCTCTACTGACTTTAACACATATTTATCCACCTCTCTCCATCCATCAGTTCATTTTACTTTTTGATAAAATTCAAAGTAAGTTGTAGAGAGACCATGACGCATTGTGACAGTTGAACAGTGGATTGCAGTGGCATACAAAAGGAGGGATTTTGTTGTTATGTCCATTGTTCCAGATGTCACAAATTTTCCCCCCAAAGCTTCTGACCAGTCCTGTGGAGCTCCCTCCTATGATGCCTTTTACTTCAGGACTCTCCACTTCTAATATCTCTAGGGGCGGGAAGGAATGTAAGGGAGGGAAGCAACTCTGGTGTAAGACTGTTGTGAAAAGTGTGAGCTGAGGTGGCCCGGAGCACGTGAGCCCCATAGTGAGGTGTGGCACTTTGACTCCAGCCCGTTGCTGCCATGCCATGAGACCCATGAGAATTTTTATGTGAAATCTTCCACTTTTTAAATGTTTGCAAATAATGCTTACATATTAGGAAAAGAGTATCAAGGAAGACTCCTGTATCTGAGTTTTCTATAGCTGCCATAACAAATTAGTACAAATAGTTTAAACAACACAAATTTGTTCTTAGAGTTCTATAAGTCAGAACTCCAACATGGGTCTCACTGGGCTAAAATCAAGGTGTTGGCCAGGCTGCATTCCTTTCTGGTTCTCTGGTTCAATCTTGCATATCTGAGTTGTGTTGGAGGGTTTTACTTATGAGGAGTGAGACTTCTGTTTCCTTGATGGTTTTCAGCTGAGGACCAATCCCAGATTTTATTTTTTCCCTTTTTTTTCATTAAGGTATCATTGATATACACTCTTATGAAGGTTTCATAAGAAAAACAATGTAGTTACTACATTCAACCTTATTATCAAGTTCTCCCCCATACCCCATTGCAGTCACTGTCCATCAGTGTAGTAAGATGCCACAGAGTCACTATTTGCCTTTGTGCTACAGTCTTCCCCATGACCCCACACACACCATGTGCACCAATCATGATACCCCACAATCCCCTTCACCCTCCCCCACCCCTCACCTTTGGTAACCACTAGTCCCTTCTTGGAGTCTATGAGACTGTTGTTATTTTGTTCCTTCAGTTTTGCTTCATTGTTATACTCCACAAATGAGGGAAATCATTTGGTATTTGTCTTTCTCTGCCTGACTTATTTCACTGAGCATAATACCCTCCAGCTCAATCCATGTTGTTGCAAACGGTAGGATTTGTTTTTTTCTTATGGCTGAATAATATTCCATTGTGTATATGTACCACATCTTCTTTATCCATTCATCTACTGATGGACACTTAGGTTGCTTCCATGTATTGGCTATTGTGAATAGTGCTGTGATAAACATAGGGGTACATATGTCTTTTTGAAACTGGGATCCTGCATTCTTAGGGTAAATTCCTAGGACTAAAATTCCTGGAATTTCTATTTTGAGTTTTTTGAGGAACCTCCATACTGCTTTCCACAATGGTTGAGCTAATTTACATTCCCACCAGCAGTGTATGAGGTTTCCTGTTTCTCCACATCCTCTCCAGCATTTGTTGTTCCTAGTCTTTTCTAAGTTGGCCATCCTAACTGGTGTGAGGTGATATCTCATTGTGGTTTTAATTTGCATTTCTCTGATGATTAGCAATATGGAGCATCTTTTCATGTGCCTGTTGGCCATCTGAATTTCTTCTTTGGAGAAGTGTCTGTTCATATCCTCCACCCATTTTTTAATAGGGTTATCAGTCCCAGATTTTAAAGGCCACCCATCTTCCCTGGCTAATGACCCCCTTCCTCCATCTTCAAAGCCAGCAATGGTGGGTCAAGTCCCTCTCACACTTCAAATCTTTACTCCTTCCTTCTCATTTCTCTGACTCAGCCAGAAAGGCTGTGTGCTCGTAAGAACCCCTGTGATTACATTGGACCCAACTGGGTAATAGAGGCTCTTGAGACTCATCTTAACCTTAATCACATCTGCAAAGTCCCTTTCACTATTTAAAGTAACTTGTTCAATGCCTCCAGGGATTAAGGCTTGGACACCTTTGGGGGCCACTACCCTGCCTGCCATACCTGGCTTCTGGCTGGAGACATAACGAAGACAGTTTCCACATTCCCTCTGAGCCTACTTGGTCCTCAGGTCCCCTCTCTAGCCCTGGGAAAATCCCCAGTATCCCTAATGAAATATACCTCATAGAGAAAAACAATGAAGTGCAGAAAGAATCTTAAATTTTTTATAATCATATTTTTAGCAATAATATTGTTATTTTTTTCCTGAAGATATAGGAAAAAACAAATAAGTAACTATGTTAATGTTAAGAACCTAGATTTTTAGCAAAAGAGATAAAATATATCTAACCAAAGATATCACAAGAAAACTACAAACCAATATGCCTTATGAATATAGATGCAAAAATCCTCAACAAAATACTAGCACACCAAATTTAGCAACATAGAAGAAAGATTATACACCATGACTAAGTAGGATTTATCCCAAGAATGCAATGTGGTTCAACATATGAAAATCAATCTTTGTAATATACTATATTTATAGAATAAAGAACAAAACCCATATGATCATCTCAGTGAATTCAGAAAAAACATTTGACAAAATTCAACACTTATTCATGATAAAAACATCCAGTAACTAGGAATAGAAGAGAATTTCCTCAATCTGATAAATGGCATCTATTTTAAAAACCTACATTAATATTATATTTAGTAAGGAAAGACTGAAGGTGTTTCCTCCTAAGATCAGAAACAAGCAAAAATGCCTGTTCTTGCCACTTGTATTCGATACTGTACTGGAGTTCCTTGCCAAGGGCAGTTAGACAAGGAAAAGAAGTAAAAGTCATCTAGATTGGAAAAAAAGAAGTCAAACTATCTCTATTTGCAGATGACATTGTTTTAATATGTGGAAAATCCTAAAGAATCCAGACACACACAAAAATAATTATTAAAACCAATAAATGAGTTCAGCAAGGTTTCAGGATACAAGCTTAATATATAAAAATCAATTGTATTTCTATATAATAGCAAGAAACAATCTAAAATACATATTTACTAGACATTTCTCCAAAGAAGATATACAAATGGCCAGTAAGCACATGAAAATAGACTCAATGTCATTTGTCATGAAGAAAATGCAAATCGAACCATAATGAGATACCACTTCACACCCACTAGGATGGCTATAAAAAAAAAAGATGGGCAGTAACAATAGTTGACAAGCATGTGGAGAAATTAGAACCCTCATTCATTACTGCTGATAATGTAAAATAGTGCTGACACTGTTTGGTAATTCCTTAAAGAGATAAACATGGAGTTACCTTATAACCCAGGAATTCTACTCCTTGAAATATACCCAAGAAAATTGCAAACGTGTGTACAAAAAACTGTATGAATGTTCATGGCAAAACTATTCATAATAGCCCAAAGACAGAAACATCCAATGTCCATTGGTTAATGAATGTATAAATAAAATGTGGCATATCCATACCATAGAATATTATTCGGCCATGAAAAAGAATTAAGTACTATCACATGCTACAACATGGATGAACCTTGAAAACATGCTATGTGAGAGCAACCAGACACAGAAGGCCACATATTGTATGATTCTATTTACATAAAGTGTCCAGAGCAGAGAAATCCATGAAAACAAAAAGCAAAATAGTGGTTTCCAGGGACTAGTGGTAGGGGATAATGGGTAGTGACTGCGAATGGATGCAAAGTTTCTTTTGGAGGCAATGAAAATGTTCTGGAATTAGATAGTAGTGATGGCTATAGAATTTTATAAATATATTAAAAACTACTGAGTTATATACTTTAAAAGGTGAATTTTATTTTGAGTTTTATGATATGCAAATTATACCTCAATCAATAAGGAGATATGATATAAAATTAAAGTTCAGTAAAAGCCTGTAATCCTACATACATAATTTCATCATAAATTCATGATATATTTATTAAAATATATTTCCAGCTCTGACCACTGTAAAAGCATAGAAACCATAACCAACCCAGTACCAGTGAATGCTCTTAGTGCCCATATTACAGTATCTAAATGGTGGTATTGATGATGTTAAGGAACCAGGGTTCTTTGGCAGAATGGCTGATGCCTATTTGAGGCAGGAAATGTACAAGTTAAGCCTGGAGAGTCTTTTGATATCTTTTATGAGAGGAGGACATATCAGTACCCTCTGGTCATGTCCAAAGGACTAGAAGGCAACTTGAGAAGACTCCTTTGGGTTAAAGAAGGGCTTACTTGGGAACTAATAAGAATAATGCTTGTATTAAATTGAAATATGTTAATTACGTTAAAACTTACAAGTTCATAAGGAAAACAAATAATTGGCCATCTTTGGAGGATGTTAGGGAGCCAGGTCATTCTGAAAACTGGTAAATTATCAAGAAGTTTGTCTTTCCTGTGCTTCAGAGTAAGCAAATAGTTGATGTGGTAGTTTTTCCTGATAGAAGTATTCAAGCTAGTAAAAGAAGAATGATAGAATATCACCATTTTTCAGGCCCCTGATGAAATAAAGTTTAGAAATTGATCATCCATGACCACCAACATTACAAAAGGAAGGACAGTGGGACGTAATGTGTTTCCTATGGGATGCTCACACTGCCACCAATGAAGAGGTTGCTAGAATATCTCATGGAATTAAGTCAAGTGTCTGGATCTAATTACCACAGCACTGTCCTCATCAACCTCGGCTGTCATTTTGTAACTGCTCTTGCACAGAGTTGGGGTCTTGTATACCTATCCCTGTGCAGTGTGTGTGCAGAGACAGATTGGAGGCAGGTCTTCAGGATGCCAAGTAGAAAAAGACTCTGATGTGACTTAGGTCTTTCCAGCTTTCCCTTGCTCCTAAAGGCTGGAGAATAAGTGGGATTTGCAGTTAACCAAACCATGTGCCTGAGTTCTCTTGGCAAGATGAGAGCTGAACCTGTCCTCTTCCTGTCCCCTGTGTCTCCCTCTAGCTGCAACAGCAAACGATACCTGGAGACTCTCCCCAACACCAGCATCATCATCCCCTTCCACAACGAGGGCTGGTCCTCCCTCCTCCGCACCGTCCACAGCGTGCTGAACCGCTCACCCCCAGAGCTGATCGCCGAGATTGTGCTGGTTGATGACTTCAGTGATCGAGGTAGGGCTGATCTCACCCAGCTTCCTGCCCCCTATACTCCATCCAGTGACTTGCCAAAAGGGTTTTCCTTTCTTCAGCAGAACCAACATGTGGGCCACCACATACTGATGCTTGCTGTGTGCCAGGCCATGAACCTGGCACTGTACCCACATTATCTCATTTAGGCCTCACAACAAACCATGATGTAGGTTCTGTTTTTATCCCATTTGTGTCAATGTAGACATCCATTAAACTGGCAATAGCAGAAAACTTAATGAACAGTAGCTCAAACAAGTAGGGAGTTCATTCATTCATTATCTCACTCATTTCATAATAAAATCCGAGACTTGTATGGCTGCTCACAGCTATCATCAAAGAACCAGGCTTCTTCTCTCTTCCTCATCCTCATGGTCACAAAAGGACAACTGTGCCCCTGGAAAGTCTTCAGGCAGGAAGGAGGAGGAAGGGCAAAGGGAACAAAGCCTCCTCCTTTCAATATTTTGCCTTCTCATTCAAGGAAGACTTTTAGCCAGAACTCTGACATCTGGGCACCCATATCTGCAAGGCTGGCTGGGAATGTGTGAGTTTTGATTTTTGGCCTCATTTCTCAGTAGGAAAGGGAGAAATGGGTTAGAGAAAGTGTTGAGTGGACCCTCCTACTTTATCTGCCACACCATTTTACAGATGGGAAAGCAGAGATCAGAGAGGTCAAGTGACTTACCTCTGGTCATACAACTCGTAAGTGGTGACCAGGTGACCAAAGCATATCTGTCTGGCCAAGCATGTGATCTTAACCACTAGACCACACTGCCCTCCAGTCAGTAGTCTCAGGCTCATTCTCTGCATCACAGTTTTCACCAGTTGCAGCAAAATCAAGAGAAGCTCTTTCCTCTACTCACCTTCTTGCAGAGGCACTAATAAGTAGTGAAGCAAGGTATGGATGAAATGAGAGTTCCTGTAGCCAGGATTCTTACCTGGCCCTGGTTGACAAGGCTGTTGACTCTATATAAAGAGCTCCACCCAGTGCTCTGGTCACGACACGGTAGCACGGCTGCAAGGCTGCAGGAGAGCTCTGCTGGAGTGGTGGCAGCACTGAGGACAGAGGCCCAGAGGACGGCTGTGCAGGACGACTATGCAGAGAGGCCCAGAGGATGGTTGTGCAGACAGAGGGGCCCAGAAGCAGAGACCAGCTTGCTGCATGTAGACTTGCTCTGAGTGAATGGGATTTTAGTGACTGACCTGCCACCCTGAAATAAAGTTGGGTATAACCCTTTTGCCCCAAGAACATTCTACTGTCATTTTCTTTGGTCACACTGAATCCATAGCGAACTTGCCCAGGGCTGAAACCCATTGGTAAGACAATCGGTGTAGTTGACAGGATTCAGTGTTGACCAAGGAAAAAGGCAGGTTGCCCTTATGGGAGGGGTGCTTCAGCAGGCTGTCCCTGTGAATGGGGAGACAGTGGATTGTCCCCCAATGGGTATGTGGTCTGAGGTGGCTTGCCTCCTAGAGGACTGGGCCCCACCCCAGGACTGGAGGCAAATGGAGGTGACACCTGAGGCAGTAGGGGTGGCCCTTGGTATAATAAGCAGATCCTTTGAGAAGCAAAGTGCCCGTGAGGCAGCGGGGACTGTGGGTTGGCTGCTTCTCACAGTATTAAAAAGCTCTACAGAAGAGACCCAAGAAATGGTGGCATAAGAATGCAAGCTGCAAACTTCTGTGGATGCCCTGAAGAAGGAATTCACATTGATGCGAGAGGTGGTAGCACAAGAACACCGGCAGCAAGGTGCTGTTGAAGAAGTAAACAGTTCTTTGCAGAACAAGATGGCAGCGCTGCCTGGTGTTCTGAAAGAGGAATTGGCCATCAAGGAAAAAGATGAACTCCTGAGGGAAGCACAGGTGGAGGTGGCATGAGAATGTCAGCTGCAAAGCATTGAGGTGAAGGTAAGAGAGCCTTTGAAGACTGAGCTGGCATTGTTGCAAGGCACTGTAGCAGAGGAGGCACTTGGTGGAGGGGAGAGAAAGGTGCCATCAACCCCAGAAATGGAGGAGCTGGGGAAGGATGAAGGGGTGGTGCTGGAGGCACTGGGTCCTCCTGTATTGAAAGCATGCCCAGTGGTTGTAAAGAAAATAAAGACCAAGCAGCTGAAAGTTCCCTAAGGAGAGGAGCAGACCCCTCCCCAGGTCGGGGAGCACTCTATGGTCCAACCCTACACTCAGGCTGAGCTGGGGGCTGTGGGACTTAGGGGTGGATGGTATTCTTCTTCTGGGATCAGAGATGGGAAAGCTGTCTTTCCTGACAGTGCAGCCCACCTTGAGGCAGCGATTACAAAATGCAAGGTGACTCACAAGAAGAATTTAAGGGGCCCCATGAAGGTTACAAGGACCCAGATGTGGGCTGATTTAATAAGGGCAGTAGTAGATGGAAGGAAATTAGATGGGAAGCCAAATAGGATGTTACTGGAGCTATGGCAACAACTCAAACCAGAGCAGCAGTTCCAGCCATTAAGACCAAAGAGGCAGAGGTCAGAGACAGAGCCACAAGTCCAGCCTGTGTGTCTGCAAGACTTTTTGCTGGAGAGGCTGGAGAACAATGTTCCAGCTTGGCACATAGACTGAGAGGAGAGAATCCTGGAGGGGTGGAGTGTGGATAAAATGAGAGTTCCTGTGGCCAGGATTCTTACCTGGCCCTGGTTGACATGGCTGTTGACTCTGTATAAAGAGCTCCGCCCAGTCCTCTGGGCATGTCATGGTGGCAGGGCTGCAAGGCTGCAGGAGAGCAGAGCAGAGGCTGGAGTGGTGGCAGCGCCAAGGACAGAGACCCAGAGGATGGCTGTGTGGGACTATTGTGCAAAGAGGCCCAGAGGACAGCTGTGGGGATGGCTGTGCAGGCAGAGAGGCCCAGAGGACGGCTGTGTGGACAGAGGGGCCCAGAGGACGGCTGTGCAGGCAGAGAGGCCCAGAGGCAGAGACCGGCTTGCTGCATTCAGACTCGCTCTGAGTGAATGGGATTTTAGCGACTGACCTGCCACCTGGAAATAAAGTTGGATATAACCCTTTCACCCCAAAAACGTTCTACTGTCATTTTCTTTGGTCACATTGGATCTATAGGAAGACACAAGAGAGTTCCCTCCAGAATAATCAAAGCTGACCTGCCTGTCGCCCCATTTTAATACACCACTCTTAATTACATGCCTTTGTACAGACGCCTCAGTGGGTGCTTTTGCGTGCTTGTGGGTGTGTGTGTGTGTACACATATGCATACATTAACACACATCTTGAACTCAGTTTTTACCACCTCTAAAAGTCTTCCCTGACTGGACATACATTCATTCTCATAGGATCCTTTACTTTTTCTTCTTAGCTCTTATCACAGGCAGACTTGAACTACAAATAAATATAATGTATAAACATTAGCTTGTGGCATGCCTCCACTGCTAGGCTGTACACTCTGAGAACAGGGGCCACCACATCTGTCTTGTCCACCACTCTTCCCCAGCAACTTAGGTGTATAGTGGATGCTTAATACATAGTTGATGAATGAATAACCAAGTGCATTTCTTCTGTTCCCTTAGCATTTCCACCATGGTTACAATAGCATCTGGTGATTTGTTTGTGTCCCTGAAGCAAGCTCTGTGAGCCTACTGGTGGCAGGGATGTGTCTCCTTGTCTCTGTAGCCATGTTCTTTAGCAAAGAGCCTGGCAGTATTCACAACTTTGATCCTAGTCCTGTCACTACTAGCCCTATGACCTTGACCTAACTGCTCTGTGTAAGTGCCCCCAAGATCTGTAAAATGGGATCACAACAGTACCTACCTCTGCCCAGGCTGTTCCCTCTGCCTGGACAGTCTCTTCCCAGCTCTTCTCACCCCACCTTCAGGTGGGACCCTGCCACTTCCACTGTTTGCTCTCCTCCCCCTGTGATTGCACAGTTCTTCATTGACCTACTTATTGTCATCTTCCACACTAGACCATTTGTGGTCTAGAAGCAGGTGATTAATAAATGCTCATGAATTAGTGAGTGAATAACGAGGAGGAATGGACTAGATGGCAGGTACATCCCCACACACAGAAAACCATCACAAGCAATGGGTCATCTTTAGCCAGCCTGATAGGTGTGGCTGTGGGAGACAGAGTTCCTTCTGCAACTGGCACTCGCCTGCGTCTTTGTGTTTCAGGCTCAGGTCCCTGCCACCTGTTTTCTGAGGCATCAGCTGTCCTGGCGGAGGGTCCACAACACTTGGCAGGATCTCTTTTTGAGCATCAGAAAGGATTAGTCCTCTAGAGGTAGAATAAACCAAGCATTAGCCAGATTAGAAACAAGCATTTCTCCTTGTTTGATTAGAAAAGAATGTCAAGATCAGCTAGGCTGCTGGCTTTCACTCACACACCCACACCCCCTCTGCTGCCTAGTGCAGGGGTGAGGCCAGGGATGCTTTGGGGGCACTGTGAGGGTAATGAGACACCTTCAGGCACAGGTGGGCTCAGGTACCTCTCCCAGCCTGTCTATATTTGGTTTCTAAAAAATTGGTCACTAAGAGGAGCTCCACTGCTTTAAAATGTGTGAAAACCAATCTCCTCATTTTACAGATGGGAAACCTCAGGCCTGGAACAGTGGACGGGCTTACTGGAGCACACTGCAAACTGGCTGCTGAGGGGCAAGAACGCCTCCACCAGCCTCCTCGTGCAGCGTTGCCCCTCCTCTCCTCAGTTGGTCACATGAAACAAATGCAGAAGCGCCTTACTCTTTTCTGTCCCCAAGGACACTTCTCCATAAATTACCTTATCATTATATTAAAGAGCAAACTTCTTGCTAAAAAGAGCTCATTATTAAACACGGCAATCCTGGACTATAATGATTTGCACCTCTGATATCCCAGTGTGCTCAGTGTTGTACTCATTAATAAAAATAATGTGACCTCCCCCCTTAATAAAAGAATGTAACAATCTTGAGAAGGAAAAGGTAAATTTATAAAAGTGACATTCTCCAAGTATATCTGTTTCTCCAGAGAGAGAAAATA